CACATAGTCGACCATGGTTCGAGTCCTGGACCCAGTGGCTTAAACTCACACCAGGCGCATGTGTGTGCATGTGCCCAAGATCCCAAGAAGAGAATGGAGGAGAAGGGATTGTGGCGTGGCCATCCCCTCTGGGAGGTGATTTCTCGCTTTCTATCTCTCTGTCTCTCTCTGTCTTTCTGGCGAGTACACGCACCCTATAGCAAAAACCTCTCCAAACAAACAAAAACATACTACTAGTAACATGATAACAGTCTAAATTTCATTGCTTTGGACCAACTCTCTCATTTATTAGTTGTATTAATAAAGAGCCCAGGCTGTCCACTAACCAAACTAAAGCCCTCTGCATAACTCTGAAAACTTAAACACAACTTCTCTGAGCTTAATTTTTTTTTTTTATCAGCGAAATAGAAATACTCAGAAATGCCAGTCAGTGGCACAGAGGTTAAGATGGTTGGCTCTCACATAGCTGACCCCACAGACCCTACCTTTCAGACTCAACAGCTTAAAAAACATGCTTGGATGTGTGTGTGTGTGTGTGTGTGTGTGTGTGTGCATGTGCTGGGGGATCAGGAACTGGTCACTCAGGTCCCAGACAGATGGTGCCCCCCCCACCCCCGTCTAGTCACATGTCGGTGAGTCTCAGGCTTCCTGTCACACTACCAGGGCTCAGGCCAAGCAGGACAGAGGGCATGGCCACCCACCCCACTCCATGGGCCAGAACCCAAAGAATGCATGACAGTGAGGGGCTCCTTGAGACTTGGGGCAGGGGCACACAATGGTCCTAGGGAGCTGCAGAGACACCAGGCTCGAGCTTGAATGTGTCCCCAAAAACGTGGGATCTGGCCAGCCAAACCCCAGCTTGCTAAGTGTCTTTCAGATGTTCCACCTCTGTGCCTGTTTCCCCTCAAGGAACAGTAGGCACAACGGGGGCTGCTGAGCAAGGAGAAGATAGCAGGGGGGCAGGGACCAGGCCTTGCAGGAAGACAGATAGATAGAGGCTCCAGGGCAGCACATCACACCCAGGCAGGCAGGCAGGCCCAGATAACCAAGCGCAAGCAGGTCCCAGGGCCTCAGGGTTCCTCAGCCTGCAGCCTCAGGGTTCAGAGCTGGGTTTGATTCTAGGCCCCCTCATACCCCATGGGAGGATCATGAGACTTAGACACCAGCACAGCTCTGAGCTGACGGTCAGTGCTCAGGATGCACAGAGGGAATGTCGCCGTGATGCTGAGGTTGCCCCACATTGGCCCTCTAGCCATGAGCCAGACCAAGACTCCAGTGGCCATGGGAACCCAGTTAGGACAGCAGGAGGTTCTAGCATGCTCAGCCCGAAGGGGGTGAGTGAGCCTGAAGCCATGCCCCTCCCCCACGGAACAGGTGAATTACTCAAAACCGCTAGTTACTGAGAATAAGAGGGGAGTATTGTACCGGGTCACAGAGACTTTCCTCATAGCCAGCCCTGCCTGACCCAGAGTCAACCGTCGGCTCCCGCCCACGTACTCACATCCATGTAGTTCTTGAGTATTTCCGGAACAGGCCCCTTGGTTGCAGCAGGTGTGGGTGCCTCCTGGCTGTACTTGGAGATTGGCTCGTGGGCAATCAGGTTTTCCACAGGGCCCCCCATCTCGGTCAAGGTCCGGCGGATGGACGGGAACTTGTGCAGTGGGATTCTGTCAAGATAGAGTTGGGGCCTGTCAGGGTGGGGGCGCTGGTGGTAGCCTGCCTTCACCCCCACCCTGGGACACTTCTGCCAAGGTAGGGCAGCCTGTGTGTGCTGCCTATGCTGTGTGCCTCCCTGGATGCCCCAGGCATGGCCAAAACCAAATTCCTGCTTATTACCCCAATCTGCAGGCTAGTGTCCCCCAAGTCAGTAAATGGCAACCCATCAACACTCCCAGGCTGCTCGGGCCAAAGTCCTGGGAGCCCCAGACATGTACCTCCCTCCTCGTACCAAGCACACAGCCAAGCTGGAGGCCAGTGTGCCTGCCCCTCCTGGCCACCATCCCATCCCAGCCCCTGTGCTGGTCTCCTCTCCTGCCTTTGCACTGCTCTGGACTCTTCCAGGATGGTGGCCAATGAGGTCAATCTGGGGTGTTGGTGGATACCTGCCCAAAGCCTTCTGAGGTGCCCACTGTACCCGGACCCTATACCAAGGTGGTCCACACCTCCAGGGCAGCACTGGCAGCTCTGATCGTGTGACCTCCCTAGGCAGCCTCCTCCTAGTCATCAACTCCATCCCCAGAAGCCCTTCTAGACTACCCTAGTCACCTTTCACATGACCCTGTTTCTGCCCAGCACCCTTGGCCTATGCTGCACTTACTGATGGGTCCCTCTTTTCTCACCATGATACAGGCCCCAGGAGGAGAGGTCCATACCTGAGGCACTAGAGGTTTCTATGCCTCCTCCAGACATTCCTCTTGGCATCCTGCTCAGAGCATCCCTCCAAGAAGTCCTGCCCTCCCAGTATGCACCCCAGCCTAGGGTGGCCACGAAGTCTTCCCTGAGCGTGAGGGAGCTCAAGACTGAAGTCAGGTGTCCTATACCTGGGGCAAATGGCAAGGTGAAGAGTCCCTGCTCCTTCACCCAGAGTCATTGGCATCCCACGTCTGAGCTCGCTCCCTGGTCCAAGGAGAGCTTGTCTGAGTTTTTAATCTCTTAGGAAAGTCCCTCCCTGATCCAAGGATTTGAGAGTTCAAGTTCATGGCTGGCTCTTCCTGGCATGAGAGGGGTGTTCTCTAGGAAGACGGGGTCTTTGCCTAAAAGCTGTTGGGCTGAACCAGCCTGGGTTCTGGCCTGGGGGACACACCTTCCAGGAGTCAAGGAAACAGGTGCCAGCAGTCCTGCAGGACCTGGGAGCATGTGGGAGAGGCCTTGGCTCAGGTGCCCTGTCCCCCCAGGAAGGCTCAGGCTCCTTTCCTCACTGCTCTCTGGGCACTCCAGGAGAGGGGAGGCCTGTGGGTGGAGCTGGCAAGGCCAAGGCAATCTGGGTCCTGTGGCTACTCCTCCACAATGCTCTGAGTCTACGGGCCCTAGGCCATCGCCCACACAGGGTGATGGATCAGGTCCAGCCCCACCCAGCCCCCTGACCACCCAGCCTGCTCCTATGATCTCAGCCACCTGCCCACAGGCAGCAGGTCCACAGTAGAGTAGAAGAAAGCTCCACGCAAACGCCCCAGGCCAAGGTGGGGACTGGGGCAGAATGAGGTCAGCCCACCTCACCCACCCCTCCGCCTCCTGGGCCTGTGGTAAGATTCTCTGGAGCAAACTGTGCAAGGCCATGCCCCAGCTCACAGCTGGCAAAGGGGTGCCCCGAGAGAAAACAATTCCCAGGTTCAAGGCGCTCCAGGGCCTATGCCTGGGTCTCCAGACTTCCACACGCGACCCTGAGCACAGACACCCCAATTTCACCTGAACCAACACTACCTCCTTCCCCACCCCATGGCCCTAGGGAGGCTGCAGTCAGCCCCGAGTCAAAGTTACTCTCATGACCCTTCAAGGCCGACCCTGGGGTTGAGACAGGTTGAGGGACGTCTGGCAGCTTTGCCTGGGGTCGTGAGCCTGGCAAGGACCCTGGGCCAGCGCTGCACTTAAACAGTTACAGCGCCATGCAAGCAGGTGGGCCCTGCAGGAGGCCAAACAGGCGGCCATTGGTGCATCCCAGCACGGGAGAGGCGCAGGGCGCACGGAGGACGCCGGGGCTCGGCGGCCGGGGCCTTACCTGATCAGCGCAGCGGCGGGCGCAATCAGCAGCCCGAGGGCGAACAGCAGGAGGACGGGGGTCTTCATGGCGGCGACGACGGGTCAGAGCTGAGTGCCAGAGGTCGCGCGCTTATACCCGGGATGACGGCGCAGTCAGCCGGATCAGCTGACCGACTTGTTTGCCCCGGAGCCGATCACGTGGGCCTGCAGCCGGCAGCGCGGTAGGCGGAGCCTGGGCGGAGCGACCCCGGCCTCGCCCCTCCTGCCGCCCGGTGCTGAAGCGCCCTTCCCAGCCCTGCCTCGGGCCCTGCCTCCGGACCTGCCTCTCCAGTGCTGCCATCTCGCTCACCGCCCTCGTTTCCCGGGTTGGCGGCCGGTGCTCCAGTTCTTGGGTTCTGTTTCTGACGTGCATTCCAGGACATGGGGCAAGGGTGGCAAGAACCAGCCCAGGCATGAGGGACCAAAGCCTGTCGCCACACTTGGGCCTCCATCTAGACAGTCCCTTGGGCTGCTGCTTCTTAGCTTCCAAGCAAAGCCCGGGCTCCCAATCCATGGCGGTCGCAGCATGCCCCACGCCCAACGCACGCCAGGCCCTCTGTAGGCCCTGAAACCCAAGCATGCAGGCGGCTCCGCAGCTGGTCCCACGCTCCTGGCTTCTTCCCTTCCACCCCAACAGCGCCTTAAGCTTCTCCACCAGCTCCTCCGGGGAACAGGTTCCCCAGGCCTCTTCCCCTCCTACTTTTCCTTTGTTCTTGATCCTCTCCCAGGTGCCTTCTTCTCTAGAAGCCTCACCAAGTCCCGGCCACCCAGATGGACCTCAGTCTGCCTCTGCAAGTGCCCACTTCCCACCTCCCCAGAACAGCAGCTTGCTTGCCCCTGCCCAGGTCCCAGGCCCTCCTTAAGTCCTTGCAGCCCAACCCACAGTCTACTGTCCCTTGAGTCCCATTTATAGACACGGTATTGTTCTCCAGAGGCCCCATGGAGGCCCTGTCTCCTAGTACCAGCCACTCCTCTGGGGCCTCAGGACCTGTTTGTGTATGAGCCTTGTGGGTGTTAGGATTCCAGCCTCAACCCTGCAGAACCCGTAGTGGACAGCTGACTTCAGGACCTCACCCTTCACCTTTCTCTCCTTCATTCATTCCTCCTTGTCTGGCTGTGTGCCTTCAGGAACTGAGTTAGGTGCCCTGTGAGAGACACCGGGTCCATTCCTGGACTCTATGGCCATCAGACTGACCAGGGATGAGAGCAGACCAGTTGAGGCTAGGCCCTCATTTATTTGGTTGTAGAAAAGATGGGAGTTCTAATCCTGGCTGTTGTGAACCACAGAGAGCCACAGAACCTCCATTTTTCCTTCTGTAAAGTGAGGTCAAGGGTTTGTCCCCCTCATCGGGAGCTGGGAGGACCAATCAAGAAAAAGCACCCTGGATGGGAGCCCCTTGGGGAGGTTTCTTGTGGTCCACATGATCATTGTCCACATCCCTACTCAAACATCACCTCAGAAAAACTGCAGGCCTTCCTTTATAACACATTTCCTGGTTAAATCTCCTTGACATAGACCGGTCTCTGAAACCACCTGTGCACACATCCCTTTCCTCCCAATGCCAGTGCCTCCTCCCGCTGAGCTGTGAGCTCCAGAGATGAGTGACCACGGCCGTGGCCTGCCTCCTGCTCTATAAGTATTCACTGGACTCATCTGATACAGTTCTAAAGGTGAGGACAAAAGCCAAGAAGGAGCAAATATCCTTGTCCTTGAAGTCTGAGGCTGTCTTCAGAACAGGTCCAGAAGCAGTGCCTTGGTACCTGAGATCATCACCTGCCTCCAAATAACTAGAAGGGCTGCACTTAGGCCAGGGGTGGAAGAGGTCTCAGCTGGTGTCCTGGGTCAGCATTCTTGATCCAAGGGGCCAGCAGTAGGCAAAGCAATGTGAGACCCAAGATGCAGAAAGGTAGACCTGTGAGAAAGCACAGCCTTGCAAGTGCTACACAAAGAGGCACCTATGAGGTGGGCAGCAGCAGGACCGTCAGGGGGACTGAGACAGGGCACAAGAGTGAGCTGTGGCACCTGTTCAGGGCAGGTGTGAGCTGGGCTGAGAGCCTCGGGCTGTCCTCCGAAGGTGATGGGGAGCTGCAGAGATGAGACCATTCAAGGGTCCCAAGGGTGAAGCAGCCCCATCCCTGGCAGAGATTACCTGTGGGACTCTGGGGTGGGGCATTCCCTCTGGGACCCTGGACACCCACACATTTACCCTGTCTATGTTCTGCTCTAGGTGCTAGAAAATTGTGTGAACAACATAGACATTCCTGCCTTCGTGGAGTTTATACTCTCAATGGGGCAGGGTGTGACATTAAATGAAGCAGGCACAGGGTCAACAGGTGCCATAGGTGGATTCCCACATGGCTGACCATGGTTTGAGTCCTGGACCTGGCAGTCTGAATGAAGTACACGCTGGGCACATGTACATGTGTGCCCAAAATCCCTGGAGGAGGATAGAGGAGAAGGGATTGCTGTGTGGCCATCCACCCCCAGGGGATGATTTCTCACTTTCCTTTTCACGATCTCTCTTCCGTGAGCACAAGTGCCCTATGACAAAAACCTTAAAAAAAGAAGGAGAAGAAGGCTGTTCATGTAGGATGTTGGGAGGTGGTGTATGCTGAGTAGGAAATTGGTGCAAGGGGGCAGGGAATGACAGGGAAAGGGTGTTAGGTGTTACAGTCGAAGAAGTCCCTGGTCTTAAATAAACTTTGAGGTGCAGGGTCAAAAAACAGGGTCACACTGTTAAGGCAGGAGCAGAAGGCTAGGCATAGCAGGCCTGGCCTGTGGAGCAGGAGCAGGGTACCTATGGGGCGGTGGCAGGGCCAGGAGAAGAAGGGACAGGTCAGAAGTCATGGAGGAGCAAGCCTGCCTGGTTGCTCACATATTCAGCCTCTGGGAGGTCACTGATGTGTCTTGGAGGGAGAGGAACCTTCCTGAGCAGAAGCAGAAGAGAACTCGCTGGGGAGGCATCACTGGAGGGAACCTTAGGGAGTATGGGCAATAGTCATATTCTGGGCACACTTTTGAAGTAGGACCAGTAGGATTTCCAGATGGATCAGACAAGTAAGTGGTGGCAATGGAGGGGTCAGTATCGACTGACTCCAGGGGTCTGTCCAAAACAGCTGAGGTGGAGTTGGATGCAGGAGGGAGGAAGACCAGGAGCTCAGAACCAGCCATGTCAGCTGAGATTTGCCTTCTGGACATGCAAGTGGTGCTATAAAGTGGCAGCAGCAGCCACGTGAGATGGAAATCCAAGGGAAAGGTCCAAGCTGACATAGGAATTTGAAAGACATCAGCATTCTAGAGGATTTTTTTTTTTTTTTGGGGAGAGATTTTCACTGTAGGGCGCGTGCGCTCGCCAGACAGACAGAGAGAGACATAGAGACAGAAAGCGAGAAATCACCCCCCAGGGGGGATGGTCACGCCGCAATCCCTTCTCCTCCATTCTCCTCTCGGGATCTTGGGCACGCACGCACACGCGCCTGGCGTGAGTTTTAAGCCACCGGGTCCGGGACACGAACCGCGGTCGACTACGTGGGAGTCCAGCGACATAGCCATTACGCTAACTGCTGGTTCCCGATTCAAGAGGATTTTGATAATAAGACTGCATGAAACAGAGGTCTGAGTGTACAAGTCCAGACAAGTCCAGGAATTGAGCCCTAGGGGGTCTCCAAACTTAGAAGAGGTTAGAGAATCATGGGGAAGCCAGCAAAGGAAACTGTGAAAGAGCCACCTAGAGAGAGGAGAAACCAAGAGAGACAGGTTCTTGGCATGGCCACTGCATCAAATGCCCCTGCTGATGGATGTGGAGATGGGAGTGAACATTAATTATTGGTCTTATCAACTTGACCTTGACAAGAGCTGTTTCAATGAAGTGGGATAAAGTTTAAGAGAGAAAGACAATTATACTCAGCACCAAACAATATGGTGCTGGCTCAGAGACAAACAGGTGGAAGGGAAGGACGAGTCCCACATGTATGCCTTGGCAAGGTGAATAATGATCTTTGGAATAAATGGTGCTATAGATTGGCAGTAGATGGTGGCAATTGAATGGGAGGAGTCTTGGTTTCTCCCTCACACCATATATAACAATGAATTCCAGGTGGATTAGAGATGTAAGTGTAAATGGAAATCCTTTGGGAAGAATAAAAAGACAAAGGAGACCATCTTTATGGTCTTAGAATCAGCAAAAATTTGTTGTTTAAACTGTACACACACAGAAGACCAAATCTTGCAAAAGACACAAGTAAGAGCATGGAAAGATAAGCCTTACACTGGAATATTTGCAAAACACATATCCAATAAAGACTTGTATCCAAAATATAGAAAGAACTCTTAAAGTTCAATAATAAGAAAACAAACAACCCAAATTTAAAACATGTGCAAATGATCTGAGCAGACACCTCACCAAAGAGGAACTACAGATGGGAAATAAGCATAGGAAGAGATGTTCTACCTCATACGTCACTGAGGAATTGCAAATTAAAACAACAATGAGACACCACTACACACCTTCTAGAATGGCTAAAACCCCAAACACTGACAGCACCAAATGCTGGCATGGGTGTGGAATAACAGGAAGACTCATACATTGCTGGTGGGAATGCTAAATGATGCAGCCACTTTGGAAGATAGTTTGATGGTTTCCTACAAAGCTAAACATACTCTTATCATGTGATCCAACAAGTGCACTCCTTGGAAGTTTATATCCACACCAAAACCTGCATACCAATGTTTCCAGCAAACTCACTTCTAATCACCAAAAACTGTTAGCAACTAAGAAGGTTCTTTAAGAGGTGAACTGATAAACAAGTTGCGGTACATCCAGACAGTGGAATATTACTCAGAGCTGGAAAGAAAGGAGCTACCAAGCCATAGAAAGTCATAGAGGAACCTTAAATTCATGTTGCTAAGTCAAAGAAGCCAATCTAAAAAGGATGCAGACTGTATGATTCCAACCGTATCTTCTAGAAAAGTCCTAACTATGGAAACAATAGAAATAGGGGTGATTGCTAGGGTTGGAGGGAGGGCAGGATGAATAGGTGGAACACAGGACATTTTGATGGCAGTGAAACCATTCTGTGTAATACTTTAATCAAGGATAGATGACATTATACAGTTGCCAAAACCCATGGACTATACAGCACAAAGAGTGA